CATCTTGTCACACACACACATCAGCAAAAGCATCTGGGAATTCCCATTCAAGGTGAGCAAACACAGTTAATTCTAACACAGTTAATTCAAGCAGGACCTCTTGGCACAGACAAAATTCTTTTAAATTAGCTCCTGTATTTTTGGAAGGCCTTTCTTTAGCACTTCAATAATAAGAAGAAGTCTGTTTTATAATGAGATGTGAACAAACAAGAGACACTGGATTTCCTCCAGCTTCTCCTGGCCTTGAAACTTCTCTCTTCTTCCACAGTTTCACTGGCCTTATGAATGGCTGGGAGAGGAATCTGGGAAGCTGGAGGCCCTCCTCAAGCTCTGCTGGGAAACTGTCCCAAGTATCCAGCACTGGAGCTGAGATGTGAGAGCAGTTCCCAAATTAGCCACAGTGACTCCGTGTACAGCAATTACTGCTCTGACATTTGGCAATTCTCAGTGCTTTTTCACAGCACTGCTCTTGTGTTTGAGATGTCAATTACAAGCCTCAATAGTTGCACAGCAAGGGTCACAATAAATGGCCATTTTTCAAGTTAACTGCCTGGTACTTCAGATAAACAAAGAGAGATTTGGGCTTCAGCTCCACTAAAGCTGTCTTACCGCCAATGACATCCAAGTTTCCTGGCATCTGGCAGCCATCAGCAACACTGTCCCAGCTGAAGAGCTCCAGAAAGCACCAGAATTTGGGTGGGATGGTTGAGGTGGTTATTTAAACAGTGCTCACATAAACCAAGGGATGAAGACAGTGAGAGGTACTGAGCAATGACTGCCCTTTACCTTGAGCAAGGAATACTCAGGGAGCTGGGATAATGTTACATTAGCAGGGCTTTGCCAGTTAATTAATCTAATCAGCATATCTGTATTGCTGCAAGTGAACCAGTTAATTTTCATCAGTGTAGGGAATCAAAGACATTATACTGATATGGAATTACACATGTGGAATTGTGCTCACTTCCCCTAAAACTGGTACAGGCTTATTTAGGAGCTGTGACTCACAAGCAGAAGTGTAAATGCAGGGAGCAGCAGATGGGATACAGGAATTAATACCCCAAACAATTCCTTTCAGTTTACTAGAGGGGTCCTTTTCCTACAAGGCTCTTTTGAAAAAAAACCAAAAGCCAACTGATAATAGGTAGCTATTCTATAAAAGGAGGTATTTGGATGGTTTTCTTTGAAATAAACAGGGGGTGGATCAGTTTAGAGTTGTATGACTACACTGTAAATTAACGTTGCTGATTCAGAAACTGTTCTGCTCCAGAATGTGTGAATATATGTACAAATACAATATATATAAACAAAATTTATTTTATACAATTCCTGTGAGGTGATTCTGGCTCTCCAGTCCTAACAAATAAAAAGTTTTTGTTGTTTGTTTTTGTTTTGTTTTTAAGTGTAGTCAGTGAAAGCAGCGACTCAAATTAGACCTTGGAAATAAGTAAGTTCACCAACTGTGTTATTTTCAGTCATCTCTCCAAATCTGCAATGCTGGTTAAATATTTGGTCTCACAACACAGTGGACAACAGTTGTAAATAGCACTAAACCCCGTTCTACTGATTTCAGCTGGAATAAAAGACAGTTGAGGCGAATCTTCCCATTACTTCTAAATCAAAGCATCCTATCTTTGCTACTTGAAAAAATAATCCTATTGTTTGGAGTAGCACTTGCTCCCCAAGGAAAGAATTCCTTTTGAACTAAACAGTTTTTTGTTTTGAATCTCTGCTAGGCAGGGAAACCAAATACAGCCCTTGGTTTCTCTCCTTTCTCATGAGCTCTTTCACCATCTGTGCATGATCATGGCCCAGCCTTTCTTTCCACTCTCTGAGAAAGACTCCTCCCAAACACTTCTCACCATGGGAACACATGGCTGCTGGGAACTCGGGGTTTGATTAAATGTGACATGAAGCCACTCCCCAGGGGTCATCCAGGGCCTGATGTGGAAGGAGAAATTGGGGAACTGCTCTCTCCTTCCATTCTGCATCTCTGCCCCAAAGTGCCCTTGTCCCTACAGAGTTTTCAGGGACACAATGCAAGAAGCTGACTCCCAGTACTCACAGCAAACCAGCATCGAAATCAGCAGAAGCAAGACTGTGGCTGCTCTTCAAAAATCTACAGAAATGGGTATTATGAGCAGAATAAACAGGTAGGAAGCCAGAACAGAGGGGTGTGTTCTTTTTTCCCTCCCACTATTCAGTATCAACCCCAGTCTCTGGTTTGTACATGCACCTGAGCTGCTCTCCCTCTTCTCTCACCTGGGCTGGAATCATCCCTGTGGACATTAGTTCTTGGAGCAACGTTATCTGTAAAGAAAAAGCCCTTTAAGACTGCAGATCCATTCATGCTTGGTTAGAAAAAAACCAGTCTTGGTCCTGCAGCTTTGCAATAAATAGTTAATTAATACAATGATGCTGGTGGCAGGTGGAGGAATTAAATTTGTAATTTTTAGATTTTTCCAAATTATGTCATACAAACTATGCTCTGTGCTGGTGTGGAATTACCTCGGAAGGATTGCTGATCTACAGAGAGAGAGAGAGAGATAAAACTGGGTAAAACAAATTGTCAGGCTTGTAATGGGTCTCTGTTACTCCCAGAAGTGCCTGTTGTTCACAGCAGTCCTGGCAATCCAGCTGGTTCCAGAACAGCAAGTCCATTCTTGAAGCAGCAGCTCAGCCCCATTTGAGTTTGGCACTTTCATGTAACAGGGAGTTTACACTGGAGTTTTATAGAGATTACACAGAAACAAAAAGATACAAAAAACCCCAAACAGTTACAAGACATTTCATTCACTTGATATCTGGGGATGTTGGTTCATCTCCTGTAGATGTTGGTTATAGGAAGCCAAGCTGCTTTGCATGGAAGAAGGTCAGTTCTTCCCATTCTTCAGAATGATTTCTTGCTGGCAGTGTGACTGACAGGATGACTCAGGCCTGCAGTCACCTCATCCTTGTGAGCAGAGCTGAAAATCTCTTGTCACTCTATAACTTTTCTCCTAGATTCAATTGCCCTCTCCAACTCCTTCCTCTAAAGAAAAAGGAAAATGTTCTCCCAGCCTCTCCATCAGCCCTGGCCTAGGGTATCCAAGGGAGTTCAGTGCAAACAAACAGTCTTAACAGTTTTCTCTTCACCCCAAACAGAAGGTGGAGTGAGATGGGAATGATGATACTGGGATGCAAGGGAGAAACAAGGCACCTGACTGGGACTTGGTCCCAGCAGGGGAGCAAGATGTGCCAACTCCTGAAATCTCAGCCATTTCCCAATTTCCCAAGCACATCACATGTGAAAGCTTAGCTCTGCCATCACACCATGCTCTACACAAACAGCCTTTGTGTCCAGAGGAGGAGCCTCTGCCTGGCAGGGGCTGAAATTGCCTGTGGCAGATGTTGAAATCATTTCTGTGCCGAGCGCCATGGCACACAGGCCCGGGATCTCCACTCCACGGTGCAGAGAGCTTTAGGAGACCTGAGGCCAAGGGAGCCACAGCAGAATGTTGTATTCCAAATTACAGCAGAGGATGCCTTGAGGAGAGCTTGTATGGCAATCTTCTGTGCAGATCAGACAGAACTTTAAGTAACCCAGGATACAGGATGTACCTAGTTTATAAATGGTTCCGTCTCGTTGGCCTGTACAAAAACAGGCGTTAATTAATCCAAATGTAACATCTGACAGCTTTTTTGAAAACCTCTTGTCCTGGTTTGGCATCACAACATTTAAATATATCATGATGTGCTTTTCAAAAGACTGATTGGAAAAATTACATCAGTTTGGGCTTTCTCAACATTTGGTGCGTCAGCTCCCAGTGTCTAAGAGTCCCATAAATAGATGTTGGACCACCTCAATACAATTCCTGTCTGCAGATTTTCCATAACACACTTCACTCTATTATTCAAATAAAGTCCAAGTGGATCTTTCCCCAGGAACGGGGCTTATGCAATGCCCAGCACAGGAGGCTCCAGAAAAACAGTGCGAAGCCCAACATGAGCTGCAAACACTTGCAGAGCAGCAGAGTCTGTTTATATTTATTTATATGCTGTGTTTCCGTTTCACTCTCACTCAACAGCCCCCAGCTCCTTTTGTCTCTTTTGATCTACCAGACTCTTTCTCACAGCTCGGTACATCAAGAGTGTGGCCCAGCAGCTACACATTAAATGGCCAACCTTCTAATAATGAAAATAATAACTGCAGGATGATCAAAACTGTACTCTAATGAGATCCTTATGCTGCTAGGAATTACTGTTCCAAATTAAAATTGTAAGCCCCTACAGTATTTTGCCAAAATCTGCCAAATTCTGGGATCTGACAGAAAACCAGATATTTAGTTTCAGGTCAGAGACGTAACATGACTTTAATACAGATACCCCCAATAAGTATCTAAACCTTATTTGTGGATGAATTTTATTATCTGTGCTGCCAGCCATGAGCATTTTAATAAGCAAGTTCTTGAATGCAAGGATCCTCTTTAGCATCACCATTTCCATTCGTTTTCCATTCTATTTTCACCAGACTGGTGAGACATTTCACTTTCAGTGTGACTCAGAATGCCAAGTTCAGAAAAAAAAAAATCTCCATAGTTACACACCTCTCTGTTGCAATGAAGTGCCAGCTCTCCATGCCCAGCTTTCAAACTGTCAGTGCTGTAACACAGCAAAAATGCTGTGCCTCAGTCACCAGGAGAGATTTAGTTCTTAGGCAGCACCTAAACTCACAGCAACATTTTCCTCTCTGCAAGGATAGCTGAAAGACCCCATGGAAATGATCTAAAAATCCAGTTGGGAATGTAAAGGAAAATTTTGTGTAGAGATGCATCCAGTCTGCAATACCAAAAGGAAGGATTCAGCCCGAATTGGTCAAAAACCAGAGAAATTCCAGAGGGTCTACATTGGGAAATCAGAGATGTATGGACCATATAAATATGCAAAAATAGAATCTATTAATACAATCTCTCAGTATAAAATGTAACACTCACATTATTTCAAGTTTAACTCTTATGTTTGCAATGTACAGAAATTAAGAACAAGGTATTAATTAAGACATAATTACAAATATTCTTTCATTTAACACAATTACAGCAATATAATGTAAAAGATCTCCACCTTTCTTCAGAAGACATTAGAGGACATCCATACAGGCAATACCATTAGCTAGAAATGCATGGCCTGGGTTAGAGATAAACCCACAAGTGGTTTTTTGTTTGTTATTTAGTTCTCATTTCTAGAAAAAAGAAATCACCTTGTGACTGTCTCTCACTCTGACTTGTGCTGTTATATTCTAAAGTCACAATCACATCTCACTGTTTGCATTATAAGGACATGTAGGTTGCACCCAGCCTTCTCCCATGGACTTACAAATTTGACTCATAGACTTACAAATCCTCAAAATCCTATAAAAACATAAATTCACTTGACACAGTTGAGTTCAGGATCTGATTCCTTCTGGGGCCTGTGATAATTTCGGCATCAGTTTGAAGCACCAGCAGCACCAGGTCCAGAGCTCTCCTCCACGCCTCTGTCTTGGCTGCAACGTTATCACAAACCCTTAAATCTGTGACCTGCTCAGGGAAGGGTTCAGAGCCACTCCTGAGCACTCCACCTCTCCTAAACTCTTCCAAAATGTAAGCTGAGGGAGAGCCACAGGCCGCTGCTTTCTGGAGGTGATGATCCACGGAGGCAGCTGCTTCCAGCTCCGAGCTAGCCCTCGCAGTGTTCCACAGGAGCACGGAGAGGTACCGCCTCCAGCCACTCGCCAGTGCCTGCAGCACAATGGATTTATACTCTGCCAGCCAGGGACTGGGGAGCTCTCTCACAACTCTGTCGTTTCCCGGCCGCCCGGGCTGCTCTGCGAGCGCCTGGATGTGACTGAGGCACAAGAGCTCCACCGCACCGCCGCCAGGGAAAACCTTGCCGTCCTTTAGAGCGTGATGGAGGCGGTACAGCAAAGTCCAGAACTGGTCCTCGAGGAGCCGCGCCTTGGAAGGCAGGGCAGTGGTGAGCACGGCCGTGAGCAGGGCGATGCCTCCCGCGCTGATCCGCGCCGGCAGCAGCTCGCCCAGATCCACCGCACGCCCATCGCTGCTCTTCCACAGCTCCGCCCTGGCCCCATTCCCGACGAAGGAAGCGTTCAGCTGGCTCAGGTACGTCACTGCCCGGGCACCAGTGGCTGCCCCGAAGGCACACAGCACTTCCCGAGCCACGCAGCCAATTACCAATACCCTGCTGGCCACGCACCTCTCCATGAAGTTTTTGCACACGTTTCCTTTGACCAAAACCAGGTTTACTTCAAAGCTCATCAGAATATCCGACATTCTGCTGAGCCACACATCTCCTGCCCATCCCTGTGGATTGGGATGCTCCAAGATGGTCCTTACATTAGGGGGTCTGTTAAAACCTAAGTGTCGGTACCCCTCCGTGAGGTCACCATCCATCAGCAGAACCCGGAGGGGTTTGTCTGCAAAGTGTTTGATGACTGAGGCTTGCTCTGGTGACACTAATGTGACAAAGCCTGGGGAGACACAGGAACAGCTCTCGGGCAGGCCCAGCACACAGCACGTCACAATCTCTGCGATATTAATCTGGGAATTGCCACTGCACTCTGCTCTCTCTTGCTGATAAGCAGCAATGCTTTGTAGCAGCTTCACGCTGGTCTGGTTTCCATGGCTCAGAGCCACTGCCAGGTGTCCTAAACCACAACATCCACACACATCTGCTGATGGTCCTGAAAGGTGTCCCTGAGAATTTCCCAGCTGACTGGCAGAACGGCCTTTCCCTAGAGTGCTGAAGTGTCTGCTGTGGGTTAACTTCCGTGTGATACAGCTGGAAGCAGCACCAACACCTCCAGACAGCACAGATGAACTTTTGTCACCTGCTGCACTGACAACAGAAGCCACTGAACCAAAGCCAGCCAAGGGTGAAACCAGGAGCTTGTTAAAATTACAATCATCTCCTTGATGGCAATAAGAATTTATTTGAATTACTTCTTCTGTTGCAGAAATATCTCTCTGAAAACACAGCAAATCCCAAGGATTTGTAAGAGCATCATGTCCAGCTTGGCCAGTTTTGCTTTCAAAAGCCTTTGGCCTAGCTCTGCCAGAACACAGCTCTTTCTTTACATCGTGTACTGGTATCTGAAGACACTGGACCCTCTCAGAGCAGGAGTTCAACCCCTCAGACATCACAGACACTATTGCTGGAACAGGAACGTTCTGCTGGAGGCACTCCACCACAGCACTGCTCCACGCTCCAACCAGGAACAACAGGGTACTCGTCCCTGTCTTAAACTCCTTGTTCTGGGCCTGAATGGTCTCGTTAAGAAGCTGTCCAACAGCACTTGTCAAATCCAAACTTTCCAGCAGCCTCACAGCAGAACAAATCAATGTGCTCTGGTTGGTGATTTCATCCACAATGAATTTATGTGATTTCATTGGCCCCAGGAATGTTCTCCCAGTGGATGCTAAGGCTGAGAGTTGCTGGAGTCCAATGTGTCTCCTGGCATTCACATCCCTGAAAGCCATGGGCAGTGGGCAGCATCTGTGAACAGATTACAGATTACTGCCCCATCCTCACAGCACACCAGAGCACAAATCACCAAAAAAGTAATTTAACAGTCTACCCCTGAGCACGGCTTTCTTCCATATAAAGCTTTCTTCCTGTGGGCTTATTTTGAAAAACCAACCAGCAGAGTTGCTGAAATGGGGCACTGTTAAAATACCATGGAATTGTTTCTGGCTGGCTGATAGTAAAGAGTTGTTAAATCCCACGATTTCTTACACTCCTGGCAGTGCAGGCTGTGTGGAACTACCACCTCCTCCGGCCCTAATGTCCGGAATTTCAGTTATTTGCCTTACTTAGAGCAATAGTTCATTAGAGCAGAATGGACAAATTACATGCCAAACTCAAGAGCTCTGTGTGGATCCTTCTTGGTAACAACAGTCATGCCACTGACTTTCACCTTCAAGTCTGCAGAAACATATTTTATTCCAAATTCTGTTTAGTCCAACTAACATGCATGAATACTTCACTAAGCGAAATAAAAGCAATGCCACTTCTTCGTAACTTACAAACTGCTGAGACTTTAAAGTTTTGACCAACTATTCATTCTTAGCACATCAAAAAGAAATCTTTCATTCAAAATCTCTTCCACAGCATGGTCCCATGGCAGATGTGGATTAAAATAAAGCTCCCTTTTTGAGTAAAAAAGTATACACACCAAGAATTGAGAACCCTGGGTCCTGTACCTCTTATGCTCAGATTCAAATCACAGAATCACAGAATGGTATGGGTGGGAAGCGACCTTAAAGATCACCCAGTTTCAACCCCCTGCCATGGGCAGGATCATCTTCCACCAGACCAGGTTGCTCAGAGCCACATCTGACCTGGCATTTGCCACTTCCAGGGATGGGGCATTCACAACTTCTCTGGGCAACCTGTTCCCATCCATCACCCCCCTCACAATAACGATTTTCTTCCTAATATCCAATCTAAATCGACTGTCTGTCAGTTTGAACCCATCCTCCCTTGTCCCATCACTATATGCCCCTGTAAATAGTCCTGCCCCATCTTTCCTGTAAGTTCCCTTCAGGTACTGGAATTTATTGACATAATTTATTCCAGCTCCCTAAAGGCCCCTTTGCGTAGCTATTCCCAATCCAAAAAGCTCTTTCTTTTCTTTTCTTTTTTTTTTTTTTTTTCCTCCCATCCCACACAGTGAAAGTCCACTTGCATATTATGTCGTACTATCGCTAGGGAGAGGAAGCGCTTCCCGGCCCGCCCGCTCCACACGGCCAGGGGGAAGCCGCCCGGAGCGGACACACCGGAACTGCATTGGCGGCGGCCTGGCCGCTTCCTGCGGCCCGGAGGGTGCCCGGCGGGCCGGTGCGGGTGTCTCACCGGAGGGGCCGCGCTCCCGCCGCTTCCCTGGACACGGAGTTGCCTGGACACGGCCACCGCTCCCTCAGGCTCCCCGCGGGCGGGCCCGCCCTCGCGCTCCCTCAGCTGTCCCTCACGGGCATGCCGCGCTCTCATTGGCCGGCGCCGTGAGGGGGGGCGGCTTCCCGCTCTCGTTCCGCCCGCTCATTGGCCGGCTGGGCGGCGCGTGCCGGCTGCGCGCGGCGGTGCGGAGCTCCCGTCCCGTCCCGTTGCGTCGCGCCCGGTGCCAGCCCGGAGCGGCGTTCCCGGCCGGATGGTGAGCGCGCCCTCCCCGCCGCGGGCTCCCTTCCCACCGCCGCCTCCCCCGAGCCCCTCCGCCCCCTCCCGCCGGCACCGTGCGTTGTGCAAACCCCCTTCAGGTTCCACCCCTGCCCAGGCCGTCGCTGCTGCCCGGTTACCTCGCACAGCGCACCCCGGAAAGGCCCCCTACTCCAACGGGAAAAGCGAGCCCGGAAAAACACCGGGATTCGCACAATACGTCACCGGCTCTCGGCGTGCCTGGTTCTTCTTGGCACAGCTCACAGACCGCAGCTCAGCGTTCGGGCCCCGGCAGCGTTGTCGGAATGGCACCGGCCAGGCCCGGAGGTGGAACCTGAAAGGGATTTGCACAGCTCAACTCAGATGTGAAATAAATGGAACAGGAAAAGGTCTCGTGTGGCTTCTTCCCAGTGCAGCATATAAGGAGTAAAAGTGTGATACGTGTGTTAATAGCAGCAGAGGGAAGTCAGGGGTGAGCCAGACAAATGGCTTTGCAGTCCAACCTGGGAGGGACAAATCACGTTGGAAAACGAAATTTCATTAACAAATAGAAGAAAATGGACTCTTCTTAGTTAAAAAAGAGATCCCAGCCCTAAACACGTTAACAATTCAGCAGAGGCAAGACACTGGTCAGCAGTAACTAGGTAACAAATCCTTTGCTTTGTGCTTGTTTTATTTACTTCTATAAAGCCTAGCCACTTGGAGCTGGGGGTGGAAGCGACTGCCTTTCCTTCCACAGTCCTGTGCACATTCAAGACTGCAGGACGAAAATCTGTCTGCTGCTGATGTAAAACCAAAACTATACTTGAGGAAGGGGTTTTTCCCTGCTTTATAGACGGAGAGGGACACTGTCCTGCCCTGGCTTGCACCAGAGACAGAAAAAGTCTCAGAAGTGTCCTGGATAATGATGCACCACATCAGCACAAGCAGATTAGTTCTCCTTATGGGACAGATCGTGTGTTATCTCACTGCTCCCACTGGATGTTGCTGCCTGGCTCCACATCCACTCGATGGACAGGCAGCCTGCAGCCACACAGCTCCCTTTAAACTTGTTTCCCACAGGAGTGGCTGATTTTGAGTCTTATTTACAGCCAAGACCCTAAGCAACCACCCTTTTTATCTGTGAGGATGCTGTACTCATATTTTTCACGGAAACCTGCAGGAAAGGCAACTGGCAGGAGGTGCAGAGGGTCATGGTCACCTCAGTGAGTCTCCATTTTCAGGCTGTCCACCTGTTTTTTTGGCATTATTCCTTGAATTGATAATACTTCAGTTTAAAACAGAAAACAGGAAGGCCAAATCCGCATTCCCCAGAAACAAAATCTCTTTTTTTCTTTCTACAGTAACCCAAGGAAATTGACCTAGAGACTCAGTGTCTATCATTGGCAGCAAGGAATGTCTCTCACCTCTACTGTATTACTGTTCTCATTTATAATTAAGTGTATTTGAAATTCTCCCAGGAAGGTGCTGTTTCTTATCTGTTCTCTCCCTTCACTTTCTGAAGGCATCCAACTATAGAAAACCTGGCTTAGGTACAGCCCAGAGGAAGAAAAGTGGCTTGAAACCTGAACTTACAGAAGAGCAAAAGCAGGAGATCAGAGAAGCTTTTGATTTGTTTGACACTGATGGATCTGGAAGCATCGACATAAAAGAACTAAAGGTTTTCAAGTTTTTTTTTCTTTTTCCTCTAAGGTGAAAATATCTTTGATCTCAAAATTGCAGCTGCTTTTTCTGTTTGTCCAACCCTATTTTAAAGCAGTTTTTGGAGTACAAGGAAGAGTAATGGCTTGCTGTCATGACTGAATTTGGGGTGCACTCTGCATGTAATGCATGAAGCAGACAGGCTTCTCCATGTGGCTATTTAAATCTGACAGCTTTGAATAGCTGAGCTTTAGAGAAACTAAACAGTTTCAGGTTTCATGACTAAGGTGCTTGTTCCTGGGAAGTAGACTTTTGTTGTTCTGGGATGAGTATCAGAGTATCAAATATTTACTTCACCTGAGAACTAAACACAGATTTTGCATGCATTCAGGAAAGTTACAACCACATTTGCATATATGTAATCCAAAAAATACCTGGTTTTTAATTTTAAAAAGAACAAAAAAGAGATCTGAGTTGTGTTTCAGTTATAAGTCAGGCAGTGTGTGTGCACTTGCACACATACAGTAGTACAAGGGGGAAGATGAATATCAGTTGTCTCCCTGTGATTTTATGTGTTTGATTTTTTTGTAAGCATGAACACTTTAAATTTACTTATCTCCTTTACCTTGATTTCTTACATACACTCTGTTTAATTTCTGCATGTGAAACCTCAATTTCTGTAAACTTCAATTTCTGAAATCTCAATTTCTGTAACCTGCAAATTACCTCTGCCTGATATAACCTATGGATTTCCACTACTATATAGGAAAAACAACACCATAAAAAAAAATCAAACCAATACTATAATTGTTCAGCAAGATGAAAGATGATGGAGGACACCAAGGTGTTTCCATGGCAGTGAGCTGTGACTAGAGGTCTGGACAAGGAAATGAAACAGGCTTTAGCTCAGCTCTTACACCAAAATTCTGGTGGCCTCCTAACAGAATTGGTTTTGCTGCTTTGGCACAGGTTGCAATGCGTGCCTTAGGCTTTGAGCCAAAGAAGGAAGAGATTAAGAAGATGATAGCAGACATTGACAAGGAAGGAAGTGGCACCATCAACTTTGAAGACTTTTTGGCTATGATGACACAAAAAATGGTAGGAACTCTTAGCAGAAGTTCTTGTGGCAGCATAAGAGAAAGGAACATCTCAGTGTCAGGGGTTTTCTGATTAACATATGCTTTACTCTTGGTTTAGAGCGAAAAGGATTCAAAAGAAGAAATCCTGAAAGCTTTCAGATTATTTGATGATGATGGCACAGGAAAAATTTCATTCAAAAACTTGAAAAGGGTTGCCAAGGAGCTGGGAGAAAATTTAACAGATGAAGAACTTCAGGTAAATTCTGATTTGCCAGAGCTTTTCTAAACAGGCACAGACCATTCCTGTAGCTCCCAGGGACTGGGTGGGAATTTACTCCTATATCAGAAGGGCTGAGAGATCAGAAATACGAAAAGCAAATACATTGTTGTTTTCACATGATGTGAAAACATTTATTGTCGTTTTAATGAGTGGATTGTGTTGTGTTTAGAGTCCAGTGCCTGATGAAATGTACGCTGTGTTTTGTAGGAAATGATTGATGAAGCTGATCGAGATGGAGATGGGGAAGTAAGCGAGCAAGAATTTTTGAGAATCATGAAGAAAACTAGCTTATACTAATATTTGTTGCCTTGCTATACAGCTGGTCCAA